AAGTAAATATCAGAGAAACCCAAATCAGGGAACAATCTACAAATACCTAATAAATTTGTCTCCCAATTATCAAGGTTGCCATAAATAAAGTCTGAACATCTCTCATAGATGCTTTGCCTTCTGGGACATGTGATTGTATTCCTTTCTTTCTACTCCCTTGCTCCCAATAAGTAGCACTTAGGGAAAAGGAGGGACAATATTACTATGGGGAAACTGGAAAACACTTGTCTGTCCAGTTGCCAAGGTCAAAATCATCAGTGATGAGTCATGTTGAAAGAAAGTAAGCCCAGGATGATACAATGAGAATGACACTTCACCCCTATGTTCTACTCTTCAGATTCTATAAACCCAATATAACCACAAGTAAATATCAGAGAAACCCAAATTGAGGAACAGTGTACAAAATACCTGACCAATAGGTCTCCCAGTTGTCAAGGTTATCAAAACAAACTCTGAAATTTTCTCAGAAGAGGCAGCTAAAAGTGTTGATGGTATTGTTTACATGATCCTGGAACAAAGACAAGACATTCATGAAAAGCCTAATAAAATCTAAATAAAGTATGCCATTCAGTTAGTAGTGATGGACCAATGGTAGGTTTTAAGTTTTGGAAGCATATCATTGTATTAGTTATTTGTTTCATTGCTAAAATCAGATGTCTGATAAACAACTTAAAGGAGAGGATGGACTTACTTTGGGTCACAGTTTGAAAGTGCATTGAATCATGATGATAAAGGCACAGAGACAGGAGTAGTTCTCAGTTATGGTGTCAGGGTTTGAGGCTCACATCTGGGTGAATCAGTAAGTAGAAACCAGAAAAGAAATATGGTAGAGATGTAGACTCCAAAGCCACCCAGTAATCCAGTTCCTCTAAGTCAGCACTACAACCCAAAGACTCCAAAACTCAAAGCAGCATCACTAACTGGGCACCACAGTCCACATGATGGGAAAGGCATGGCAGCAAGAAAGTGAAGTGCCTGGTCACACTGGCCTGCAGTCAGGAGGCAGAGAGACTTGAATGCTCATGCTCAACTTGCTTTCTCCTTTGCATTCAGTCTGACACCACAGCCCACAGAATGGTACCACACACGTTGAAGGTGGGTCTTCCCAACTAACCCAACTGCAAAACTTCCTCATAGACATGCCCAGATGTTTGTCTCCTAGATACTTTCAAGTTGACAATAAGTACTAACTACGTAATTGATTAATATTTCATAGGAGGTTAATATTCTTTACCTCCTATGAAATTTTATTTCAGGTCTCCCTGTTCTACTTCACTGGTAGATATGTCTATGTCCTTGTTAGTTTTTGTTTGCTTGTTTGTCTTGTTTTATTGTCAACTTGACACAAGCTAGAGTTGTCTGGGATGAACCTCAATTGAGAAAATGCCTCCATCAGATTGCCTATAGGCAAGTCTGTGGGGAATTTTCTTGACTGATAACTGATACAGGAGGGCCCAGCCAACTGCAAAATACCCAAAACCAACAATAACAAGAAAAACCTAAAGGAGAGAAGATTTATTTTGGCCCGTGTTTCCAGAGGTTTTAACCCATGGTCTAGTTGTTATAGGCCTGTCATGAGAAAGAACAACATGGTGCAGAGAGCATGGGCAGAACAAAGCTGCTCACCTTATTTGTCCAGGAAGCAGAGAGAGACGGAAAGAAGAAGGAATCGGTGACAAGAGATACATTCAAAGGTAGGGCCCAGTGACCTACTTCCTAGAGCCAAGTCTATGCCCTAACAATGAACTCACCAACAGATTAACTCATTGATGGATAAAACTGTCACCTTCAGAATACAATCAGCTCTCAGCAGCACCACCAGCTGGTGCTTAAGTCTTTAGCATAGGCCTTTTGGAGGGATAAAATGTATCATAACAATATTAAGTCATAGCCCATAAACATGGGGTATCTTTCCATATATATATACACACACACACACACACACACACACACACACACACACTTCAGCAGTGTTTTGTAATTTTATTTACACGTCTTTAATCTCCTTGGTTAAGTTACCGATTATTTTTTATGCCTTTCAATATTATCAATAATGAATTTATTCACTTGATTTCCATTTTAGGTTGCTTATTTTAGTGTATAATGTTTGTTTACTTTCTTAAAAATGTGTGAGTGCACCATGTGCATATCTGCTGTCTAAGGAAGAAGGTATTGGATCCTCTGGAACTGGAGTTATAGGTGATTGTGAGCCACTAGGTGGGTGCTGGGAACCAAACCCAGGCTGTCTGTAAGAACAGCAAGTGCTCTTAACCATTGAGCAATCTTTCCAGACTCTGTATGTTGACTTTTATATATTGTTGTTTATATGGTAGTTCTAACTCTTAGATCCTATTTGGTCATGTTGTGTGATCCTTCAACAGTGCTATTAAATTTGTTTGGATAGAACTTTGCTAAGACTATTCATATCTGTCTTTATAATAGATATTATATAGTTTTCTTATAATGTTGTTGTCTGGCTTTGGAATTCATAAAATAGTGGCATCTTAAAATGAATTAGTATCCTTTCCCAATGTTCCTGAGGGGTTAGAGGATGATTGGTGGCATTTCTTTAAATATTTGGTAGACTATGTCAATGAAGCCACCCTAGGCATTTCTTCAATGGGAGGTATTTGAATGCTGGTTCAATCTTATCACATTATAGAGTTTCTTCATGATTCATTCTTGGAAGGCTTTGTGTCTGTGGGTGTTTGTCCATTCATCTAGGTTATCCAACCTGTTGATGTCTTGTTCATACTTCTCTTTTATAATCTTTTATCTTTCTGCAGAATTGGCAGTAGTGACCCTGCTGTCATTTCTGATTTTAGTAATCTGAGTCTATGTTCTTTTGTTCTTAATCAATCTAGTTAAAGTTTTATTGGCTTTTGTTGATCTTTTTGAAGAGCCAACTTTTGGCTTCCCTGATTTTTCTCTATTGTTTTTCTATTCTCTATTTTGTTTATCTCTACTGTAATCTTTATTATTTCCTTCCTTCTGCTGGCTTTGGGGTTAGTTTGTTCTTCTTTTTCTAGTTCCTTAAAGTATAAATTTAGGTTGTTGATTTGAGATCTTTCTTAATGTAAGCATTTATAGCTATAAATTTCTGTTCAGCAGTATTTTCACTACATCCTGTAAACTTCAATGTTATATTCTAACTGCCCTTGTCATTTCTTCCCTGATTCATTGTTTTTTCAGAGTGTGCAGTTTAATTTCCACATACTTGTTTAGTTTTCAGTTTTCCTTTTGTTTTTGATGGAGTGAGGAACAGCGCTCAGGGTCAAACCAGGGCCTCTCATAAGGAAGGCAAGAATGGTGCCATTGAGCTAGACCCTCAGCACTCGTTTTATTGATTTCTAACCTCTAGTGTGTCCAGAGGGGACATTTTGCTGGATACAGATATTTTTAAATATATAGAAAATATTTTGGTGACATAACATACAGTCTATCTTAGAAAATGTCACACATGCTTTTGAGGAAAATATGTACTCTACTGTTGTGAAGTATTTTATATGTCAGCTGTTGGATCTGCTGAATTCACAGTGATGTTTGAACCTTTTGTCTGAATGTCGTATCTTTATTATTGAAGTGTGTTATTACTGTAGAACTATCATTTCTTCCTCACAGAAGCTCCTGTTTGCATCACATATTTGGAGACCACGCTCCCCCCCAGGAATGTTTAAGATTGTTGCCAGGTACAAACTGTTATTAATATGAAATTCTCTTTTTGCCTCATAAATTTTTAAAATCTGTTTTGTATGTTATCAGTATACTTCTTCCAGATCTCTTTGGTTATTACTTACATGGCACATGTGTTTCATTGTTTTATTATCAGTATTTTTCATTTATTTGAATCTAAAGTGTAGATAGCATATAGTTGGATCCTACTGCCTGTCTTGGCATTCAAGAAATAAGTCCATACATTAAAGAATTTTCTAAACAAAGACTTATTTTTAGCCTTTTTTCTATTATTTTCTATGGGGCTTATGGGGTTTGTTTCTTGCCTTCTTTTTGGTTATTTGGTATTTTTGTTTTTATTTTGTACATAAATGCTGTAGTTATATTTTGGGGCTACCATGGATCTTACTCAGCTTTCTAACAGTTGGATTTGGATTCATACCTGTTTAAGCCCTAAAGCATACAAAATTTCTGTTTCTATACAACTGTGGCTCCACCTTTAAGTTGCTGATGTTACAAAGTGTGCATACTTGAGAACAAGTCCACACAATGTTTTTCTGTGTGCTTGCCTCTTGGACTGAACAGAAAATGGAAAGGGGAGTTTAAAAAGCAAAATTAACTTGTACTTGCTTTTACAATTTTCCATGTAAATGAATTCTAGCAGGAAGATTTATTTCCTCTAATGGTCTCGAGTTCTGCCTAACATTATTTCATCTTTCTTAAAGGACTTCAGTTAGTGTTTCCTGCCAGGGAACACACAGTAGCAGATCTTCTGGCTTTTGTTTCTCACAAAGCCTTTGTCTCACCGTCTGCTCTTTAAGAATAGTTTTGTCAAATGCAGACTTCTCAGTCAACTTTTTTCTTCCTTTCCAGTAGTTGGAATATCAATTCCTCATGCTATACAGAATTTTGGAAGAATGTACACAGAAATTCTTAGTGAGTATCCCTTGCATGTGTTTGGTGATGTCTACAGTTTTCAACATTTTCTTCCTCTTGACTCTCAGTAGTTTGTCATAGGTCTCTTTGAATTCCTCCTAATGAGATTTATTTTGTGCTGTGGGAAGGTCTTTCTGCATGCTATAAATATGTGTTGCTACCATTGGTTAATAAAGAAGCTCCTCTGGCCTGTGGTAAGGCAGGTTATAGCCAGGTGGGAAATCCAAGAGAGAGACAGGGAGAAAGGTGGAGTCAGGCCAGCCAAGAAACAAGACGCCAGTAGACTGGTAATGCCACAGCCATGTGGCAAAGTATAGATTAATAGAAATGGGTTAATTTAAGATATAAGAGCTAGCCAGCAATAAGCCTGAGCCATAGACCAAACAGTTTGTAATTAATATTAAGCCCCTGACTGGTTATTTGGGTACTGGCAGGCAGGGAGAAAAGCTTCCAGTTACAATTTGGGGCTTGTGTATTCATATCTTTCTTATATTTTGGGGCATCTTAGTCACTGATCCTTTAAGTAACTCTCTCCTATTTTCTTCCTGGGTTTCCATGATGTGCATGCTGGTCTGCACAGAGATGTCCACCCAAATTCTGGCTCTCAATCTTCTTCTCCAATGTTTCTCTTTTAATTCCTGACATGTTGCAAGCAAA